TGTCCTGGGCACCACTGACCCCACAGCCACTGTGATGAGTGGGGTTCATGACAACAGGCTCAGAGGTGACATTAATGTCCAAGGTCACATAAACCCTGGATGATAATCAGGAATTAATAATAATATTATTATAAATAATAGTAAATAATTATTATTACTATAAATAATAATAATTAATAATCAGCTCCCCAACCCCAGAATCAGATTACAGATTACAATGAAACATATATATATATAATTTCTCTTTATCCCCTCTATTTCTCCTTTTCAGACAGGATCTTGCTGTGTCGCCCAGGCTGGAATGCTGAGGGGCGACACAGCTCCCTGCAGCCTCCACCTCCCGGGCCCAAGTGATCCTCCCACCTCAGCCTCCTGAGTAGCAGGGGCCACAGGCATGAGCCTCCATGCCCAACTCACTTTTTTCTTTTCTGTAGAGACAGGATCGCAGTATGTTGCCCAGGACTATCTGAAGCTACTGGCCTCAAGCCATCACCCGCCTCAGCCTCCTGAAGTGCTGGGATTCCAGGCGTGACCCACCACGGTGGACCCTGCATTTCTCCTGTGTGCTCACTGCCACACGCAGCTCAGCCTGGGCTGCACAGCCCGGTGTCAGGTGCGTCTCTGCGGACCTGGGTCTGCCTGCAGCGTGGACCTGCATCTTCCCCGAAGCATCTCCAGGGCTGGAGAGACGACTCCCATGGTAAGGACCCCGCGACGCTGAGCCGATGGACGGGCTGGAGGAGGGAGGGAGACCCCATGGGGAGGCTCTGAGAGGGAAGAGGAGCCCACGGTCGTCCTCGCCTGAAAGGGGCTGACTCAGGAAGTCACCGGGTCTATTTGCTGCTGTGTCCCGGCCCTCAGTGAGATAAAGATAAATCGGGCAGACAGTGACCCAGGGGCAAGGAGACCCCATTTCTCTCTGAAATGTCTGCAGAGAGCCTGGTGCCCGCCCCCACCTCAGCCCTGGGGAAATGAGAACCAGGCTCCGGGGGAGGGCAGTTCCCCTTCCTGTGGGCAGAAGATGAGACAATCCCATAACAAGAAGGACCCAGCCTCCGAGCAGCCACACCCTGTGTGTGTCTCTGTCCTGATAGCACCGAGGGTTCATCCATCTGCAGAGCCCGGGGTCGCTGGGAGCAGACGCCATGACCCCCACCCTCACAGCCCTGCTCTGCCTCGGTGAGATTTCAAGATGGGGAGGGGGAGATCCGAGTTTTGGAGGGACCCCACCCCACACACAAGCCCTGGTCCATCAGGAAACCTCAAAAGCTCAGGAGGCACCAGGGCGAGGAGGGTCTGCTCAGGCTTCAGGGGCAAATCCCTCACCGGGAACTCTCTTCCAGGGCTGAGTCTAGACACCAGGACCCATGTGCAGGCAGGTGAGTGTGTCCCCAGTTGTCCCAGGTCCCTCCTCCTCACTAGGGACAGGGGCCACACTAGGGCAGCTGGGGGAGGAGACCGCACGCAGTTCTGGGTGACTGATGGCAATGACGGGGGGTCCTGGGGCTGGAATCTGAGTGTGGGGATGTCTTGGGATCCAGCCTCTGATTTCCTTCCAGGGCCCCTCCCCAAACCCGCCCTCTGGGCTGAGCCTGGCTCTGTGATCATCTGGGGGAACCCCGTGACCATCTGGTGTCAGGGGACCCTGGAAGCCCAGGAGTACCGTCTGGATAAAGAGGGAAGTACAGATCCCTGGGACAGACAGAAACCACTGGAGCCCAAGAACAAGGCCAGATTCTCCATCCCATACATGACAGAGCACCGTGCAGGGAGATTTCGCTGTTACTATCTCAGCCCTGAAGGCTGGTCAGAGCGCAGTGACCCCCTGGAGCTGGTGGTGACAGGTGAGAGGACACTCAGGGGTCCCAGCCCCAGGCTCTGTCCTCAGGAAGCGGGGTCGGCTCTCAGGGGCGTCTCCCTCTCACAGCCCAGCCCTGGGGATGATGTGGGAGGTGGGAGCCCATTTAACACGGTGCCTCCTTCTCTCCTAGGAGTCTACAGCAAACCCACGCTCTCAGCCCTGCCCAGCCCTGTGGTGGCTTCAGGAGGGAACGTGACCCTCCGATGTGGCTCACAGC